AAAAAAGAAAGAAAAAGCATGTCAAAACAAATTGAGTAACTCTTTTAAAACAACTTTGGATGCAATAATATTCTTTCACTTCATGTATCAAATCTTATCAGATGAATATTTGCGCGCGCGCGCGCGCGCGCACACACACACACACACACACACACACACACACACTCTTACACCCCTATAAGATACCTGATGGTGATAGCATACGTCTCCATTTTATTGAGAACGAGAGCTTTGGGATTTAGAACTGGGGCCAACATTAAGTGTCCACTTCAAATGGCCCTTGTGAAGTTTCTTTCAGCTTTACTTTCAAAGTTTGAGATACTTAAAATAGCTCTCAACAGAATTCAGACTCTCTGGATGGTCCTTCTGGGGGTGAGATGTGGGGAATTGTGGCAGTTTCCATGGTTACCCTAAACTTACACAGCATCCAGCTTTGTTCCATTGAAAGCATGCCCTTGAATCGAAGTAAATCCATTGTTGTATAGTTTCCTAAAATCAAGAGAAAAAGAGAAAGAGAAAAATTAGTGGTCATCTAACTCAATGGTGAGTACTCGCCTAACATATACAAGGCCCTGAGTCAGCAGATCCCCAGAACTGAATAAATAAGTCAAGAAAATAGGTGGCCTGTGGGATATGTGTTGTTCCTTTTTAAATAATTGGACTTCGTCTCTTTAGTATCAGAAATGTGCATAAAATTTCACTCGTCATCCATATGCATTCCTCAAGAAGGGAAAAAAAAAACCTCACACTATGTCTTGTGTGGGGCATAAGATGTTTCCAAGTTTGAAACTCCATTCTCCAGAATTAGGAGCCAGTGAGTCAGCCTTTCCCCAGAAGCTGACTTACTCTGAAGAACAAAGGTTTGAAAAGGATTTTTTAAAAAAGTTTATCTTTATTATGTTTTTAGGGGTTGTGTGTGTGTGTGTGTGTGTGTGTGTGTGTGTGTGCACATGCATGTGGGTGCAGGTGTCCGTGTGGGCTAGAGAGGGCATTGGATCTCCTGGAGCTGAGTTACAAGCAGTTGCAAGCTGTCCTGTGTGGGTGCTGGGAATCAAACTCAGGTCCTCTGCAAGATCAACAAGCACTATTAACTACTGAGTCCTCTCTCCAGCCCCTGGGATTTTTTAAAATGTGGACCTATTAAAGGGAAGGAAATTTCAGATGACAGTTAAGCTCATGTCAGCACTGGAGGAGGGACAGCAGTTTCTTAAGATGAACAGCTGACTAGACATTCATCTGAATGCATAGCTTGTTATTTTTAAATTTAAAGTCTTATTTCGTCCCCTCTCTCTAAAAACAAAAACAAAAGCAAAAAAAAAATGCTTGGTCTCAGAGTTTATCACAAACCAAATGCTTAATAGTTATAGGTGGAATTTAAACTGAGCCTCACAGATGACTCTGAGAAGGTTGAAAGGTCATGTCTTTTTGTGGTAATTTTTTGAAGATTTTAACATGCTATTAATTTTTTACCTCAGTTTCCAGGAGCCAGCCTGAAACGTTACCTCTCATTTCCTAGTGAAGTTACTGAGACATGGGAGCGACTTGCCAAGATCTTGCTAGTCTAAACTTGTTAGGGATCAGGATTCTTTTTTTTTTTTTTGAGACAGGGTTTCTCTGTATAGCTTTGCGCCTTTCCTGGAACTCACTTGGTAGTTCAGGCTGGCCTCGAACTCGCAGAGATCCGCCTGGCTCTGCCTCCCGAGTGCTAGGATTAAAGGCGTGCGCCACCACAGCCCAGCTGAGATCAGGATTCTGGACCTCAAATGCAGTTCTCCTCATCTACTGAGAACACACCTCTGCAAGAGAAGGGACCCCAGTCTTCGGAACTCCCAAGGTATGTGGCACTCACAATTGTTAGTAGTCATTGGCCACAATCAGGAACTGCTCCCAGGAATTCCTCAGAACAGGCAGGGGAGAATTTCAATAATAATTTTTATTTATTTATTTATTTATTTTTGAGACAAAGTTTCTCTGTGTAGCTTTGGAGCCTGTCCTGGAGCTCACTCTGTACACCAGGCTGGCCTCGAACTCACAGAGCTCCACCTGCCTCTGCCTCCTGAGTGCTGGCATTAAAGGTGTGTGCCACCACACAGCTTCAATAATAATTTTAACATACTACTTATGGACTTGATAAATCAGTAACTACAGAGGAGACTCCAAGTTTACAACCAGGCCTGGGTCTGCCACTTAATAGCTGGGTGATCCTGAGACTCTCATATCCTCTTCCATCCTGCTGTTTTATCTCTAGGAATATGATGCTAATACCTCATTACAAATTGCTAGGGAGACCAAGTCACTCTATCTAATAATGCTGAATGCTTAAAAGATGGCCATGTTAAAGGAGAACTCTAAAATCTGAATTCATTCTAGATAACTGTGGGAAACTGAGGAATAATCTCATGGTTTTGTTGTTGTTTGTGTGTTTTTTTTTTCTTTAACGACTGAGTTTATTTCTCGTTCCTAAAGAATTATGGGTGTGGACTGCAATCCATTTTCCAGGAGCTCAGGCACAGAGAGTGACAAATGCTAATGGATAAAGTCCACTTTTCCCGAACTGCAACTCCTTTGCAAATATGTGAAAAAAATGATGCACTTTTTTATTTTCTCCAAATTTGTCCTTGATGAGCTGGGAGAGATGGGTCAGCCAGTAAAATGCCAGCCATGCAAGCATGAATCTGGATTCCTAGAGCCCACTTAAAAAGTCAAGCGTAGCAGCATGTGCCTGGGACCCCTGTCCTGGGGGTGGAGTACACGCAGGTGGATACTTGAAGTTGGTGGGCAGCCAGCCTAGGCGAACCGCTGAGGTTCAGGGTCAGCCAGAGACCCTGGCTCCAAAAATAGGAGTGGAGAGTGATCAAGGAAAAAAAAAGTCTATCCGTAAGCTCACACACACACACACACACACACACACACACACACACACACACACACACACAATGTTCTTGGTTTGAGTTGTGCTTTAGAGACTAAATAAAACTTCATGGAGACATAGGTCCTGAAAAATGTAAATAGCAGAGACGGGAAGAAGCAGGGACATGGGCATGGATTCTGCTGTTAGACACTTTCCTTGTACATTTAAAATTTTGAGCTTGATTGACCTTCAAGGAAGAAAAGGCTTTTATAAAAATATAATTAAAAAAAATCACCCGTAAAGATAATGGACAAACTCATGCCATTCCCACCTCTACAGCCAGGATTCAAACACTGGGTCTCAACAGAGGCATTGGACGGCTCTGGTAGGAAAGGGAAAGGAAGTCCTGGGGAAAAGTGTTACAAGGGGAAGCTAACATTCTGCAAAAAAAATAGCTGAGAATGTAGGAGCTTCCTTGGGAAGAATGCTACCCAACACAATGGAAACCTTTACAGAGGGTATGCCTGGGACTGAGCTGAGAACCCACTGCTGCTCAAAGTAGAGGTGGCCGAGTTGGAATCACTTGTCTTTTCCTAAGAGCTCTGCCCTCATTGAGAAAAGGATACTTTGACTTGACCCACCCGGGGAGAACAGCTGTGATCTTTCATATAACCCAAATGGATACATCAGCAGTGGTTTGGAAAGGAGGGTTCCTGCTGGAGGCTTGGATCAGTTTCGCTAGGGAATAAGTAAATCAGATTTGCATCCAACAAAGACTCCAGACTGTAGTGTGACCAGAGATAGCGAGCTCGGGTGGCCATCCAGGTAAACACAAAACCAACCAACTAACCAAACAAAAAACAGTAGCCTAGGGTGGGGGTAGTGTGTGGGATATAGGGAGAAGGGTCTGCAGAGGTAGCCCTAACTCTACTTTGTGGCTAACAGTATGAAAGGAGAGATTTCTATCAGCTTGGAGAATTAACTGATCTTCTTTCAGTAGATCTTTTCCATTAGAAATTTTATTGCTATCCTTGATTTGGCATCAACTTTGGTTCATTTCTGTGCTTTGAAGCAGGGTCCGGAACTTGCCATAAAGCCAAGGATGATCTTGAAACTCAGATCCTCCTGCCTCCACTTCCCAGGGGCTGGGATTTCAGGCATGTGCCACCATGCCCAGTTTAAGGGTGATAGAATCCAGGGCTTCGTGCATGTCAGACCAACACTATACTAACAGAGTTATAGCCCCATCCTTCAGCATCTACTTTTGAACAACCAACGAGCAGGACATGTTCTGAATAAAAGCACTATGTTTTCTGTTGAGCAAGCAGTTATAGGAACTATGTCCTAGTCTGTGATCTCTGATAGAAAGTGTAATTACAGACTATGAAAAGCCCTCAGTGGCACTAGTCTTTATTCAGGGACTCTGTGAAAGTCACATTTACTCCATGGAGTTTCTTCCTGTATAGAATGGGGATATTTGGATGTTGGATGCTGTACCATAAAGCCTACTGGCCTAATCAGATCCACATTCTGTTTCTATAAAGGGACTTAATTGTGACACAGACTTATGTATGCATTTGGCCACTTTTGCTTTTCAGTGGCAGTTGCTATGAGGCAGTGCAATGTGTACAGCCTACCTGACCCTTCTCGGAATAAATGACCAGCCCCTGCCATAGAGAATATGCAGTTCTTATCGTCTCAGTCTGCTAGTGGTCTGTAGACTATCACACCACAAGGCCACACTCAACTACATGAAATCCTTCCAGTCACACAGTGTACACTGGCATGCTTCTGTAAAACTCAGACACATTATTTAGCTGGAAAAACTAAGACAATAGCCTCAGACAAAATTCAGGGGCTGGCAAGAGTGAAACTGGAAATACTCACAGGGTCAAGGTTTCATTGCACAGTCCCTGAAATGCATTTTCAGGGACTGAAGTCATGTAAGGGTTGTCTGTGATTTCACTGCAAGAGAAAATGATGAAAACAGTTGAGAGAAGAACGCCGGGCATGGGTTCTTGTTGCATAGATGCACTTCAAAGAACCAGCCATCATACAGCTCCATTTCAGCTGCTTCTTTGACCCGCTTCTAATCACTGGTGGTCATGGGAGGTGAGGAGAGCTGTTCTAGGGGGATACACACTCAGAGTCAAGTGTGCAGCAAGCAAACACACTCCAGTGTGAGCTGAGGTCTCTGCCTTACTCCTTATCTCAAAGCAGCTGGAGCTTGGGAGACTTCTGAAACTGCAACACTATGTCCATAGCAACTAGAATGTTCTATGTCAATATGAGGATCAGGAGAAAGGAAAGGGCTCAGTGGATTTTATTTCATGGGTATCATTAGGATGTCCTCTATTTGCAAAACACTGCCAGGCAGGTGCTCCCACAAGACTGCTTATGTTTAAACAGAATTTATCTGTAGCAAATGTTTTTTTCCTGGAAAAAAATATTAAGAGTTTGCAGCATGCCAGGTGGTGGTGGTACACACCTTTAAGCCCACCCCTTGGGACACAGGCAGACAGATCTCTGAGTTCGAGGCCAGCCTGCTCTACAGAGTGAGTTCCAGGACAGCTAGGGCTGTACAGAGAAATCCTGTCTCAACGAAAAACGGGGAGTGGGGAGGTAGGGAGTTTGCAGCTAATCATTCTACACTTTACTGACTCTGCAGGGCTAATTCAACCTTTGCAATTCTCCTGCATACATGCTTTTTCATTTTCATTTGAATGATTAGGTAAGACCACTGTTCTATGTCACAGTTTTTGGAAAAAACAAAACAAAACACCAGACAGTCAATCAAAAGCATGCCCTTGACTGCTCTGTTGAACTCAGATCACACACTCATTTTAATTTTCTAGTCCTTTGTTTCACCGTTTACTGAAACAAACAAACAAACAAACAAACAACTTCCCTTTATACTTCGAGTGAAGCAAGCATGACACCTAGAAAAGTGAAAAGTTATCAGAAAATATGAAAAATAAGGTATCACTCTTATCTAAACCCCCTCCCCCATTCAGCCACTCCCCTCAGAAATCATTTCATCATTTTTACCATTTAAAAATTAAATGTGGGTGAGGGAGCCTTGAGACAGTTCTGTGGGTGAAGGCACTTGCTTGTCAGGCCCACCAACCTGAGTGTGGCTCTGGGAACCTACACAGTGGGAGAGAACCAACTCCTTCTTGTTGTCTTCCAACCTCCACACTCCACATAAAGACACATATACACTAAATAAATCAATGTAAAACATAAAATAGGCTAGGAATCATCCTGCTTAATTAAGGTGGGAAGACCCTCCCTGAAGGTGGGTGGCACCATTTCATGGGCTGAATTTTCATCCTGTAGGAGTAGAGGAAGCCCATTAAGTTTCAGGGAAGCAAGGAAATGTTTATTGTCTCTTTACTCTCTCTTATTTAAAGATTTATTTATTTATATGCTGTGGGATGGTCTGTATGTCAAATTACTCTGATTGGTCAATAAATAAAACACTGATTGGCCAGTGGCTAGGCAGGAAATATAGGCGGGACTAACAGAGAGGAGAAAAGAAAGAACAGGAAGGCAGAAGGAGCACTGCCAGCCACCGCCATGACAAGAAGCATGTGAAGATGCCAGTAAGCCACGAGCCATGTGGCAAGGTATAGATTTATGGAAATGGATTAATTTAAGCTATAAGAACAGTTAGCAAGAAGCCTGCCACGGCCATACAGTTTGTAAGCAATATAAGTCTCTGTGTTTACTTGGTCGGGTCTGAGCGGCTGTGGGACTGGCTGGTGACAGAGATTTGTCCTGACTGTGGGCAAGGCAGGAAAATTCTAGTTACAATTATGTATACAGAAGAGGGCGCCAGATCTCATTTCAGGTGGTTGTGAACCACCATGTGGGTGCTGGTAATTGAACTCAGGACCTCTGGAGGAACAGTCGGTGCTCTTAACCTCGGAGCCATCTCTCCAGCCCCTGTCTCTTTACTCTTGACTATGAGGATGATGTGACCAGCTGCTTGACTTCCTGCTTTGACTTTCCTGAAATGACGGCCAGTAACTTGAAAGTGTAGCCAAATAAACCATCTCCTTCTGAGGATGCGTGCCTTGTGCCCATGGAGGTCAGAAAGAGGTATAGGATCCCTTGGGACTGGAATTACAAACCATTGTGAGCTGCCACATGGGTGCTGAGAATTGAACCCGGATCTTCTACAAGAGGACTTGAGCTCTTGACCTCTGAGCTATTGATTCAGGCCCTCTCTCCAGCCCCTACACCACTGTTGTCTTTTGATGACAGAAATGAAATCAGAACAACAATAAAACTGATGAGTTGGCTTTCTTCCCCATCTATAATGCTCTCCAGAAATTCTCTCTTGACCCCTGTCTTAATTAGGGTTGTTATTGTTGTCATGAAACCATGACCAAAGAAACTTGGGGAGAAAAGGATTTCTTCAGCTTATGCTTCCATGTCACAGTTCATCATCGAAGGAAGTCAGGACAGGAACTCAAGCATGGCAGGAATCTGGAAGCAGAAGCTGAGCTGAGGTCATGGAGGGGTGCTGCTTACTGGCTTGCTCCTCATGGCTTGCTCAGCCTGCTTTCTTACAGAACCTGGGACCACCAGCACAGAGATGGCACCGCTCTCCCCTCTCCCCTCTCCCCAATCACTAATTTAAAAAATGCCTTACAAACCTGCCCACAATCTGACTTTATGGAGGCATTTTCTTAGTTGAGGTTCCCGCCTCTCAGATGACTTTAGCTTGTGTCAAGCTGACATGAAACTAGCCAGCACAAACCCATTCCAGCTCAGCTTCCTACCGTCATTATCCTACAAACACTGTTTTTGTCAGAATCACCAGTGGCCCTCAGTTTGTGAACTCAGTGGCTATTCTTCACTTGTGCCTGACTCCATTCTTCAGCATAGTTACCCTGCCTACTGCTGTCTCTTGGAATCCATTGTTTTTCCTGGCTTCTACCAGTTCCCATGACTGCACCCCAGTTCTTTATCTGGGGCAAACAAAATATACCAAATACTGAATGTTTAGAATACTTACAGTATAAAGAATACATCAGTGGAATAAATTTTGGTCAGGTCAGGAAATATTCTAAGTCCAGTGTTGAAAATACCACTAAATTAAAAAAAAAAAGAAATAGAAGTTTAGGTAAGAAAATCAATACCTAGGAAGTATACTGTAATGGCTGAAATCATGAGTTTATGAGGTAAATCCCAAGTCCTCCACTCAATACCTCATGACTGTGGTAAGTGCTAACCCTGGAATGGGGTGGTATTCCTTCAAAGCATGATAATTTAATCCTGTCAATAGAAGTGATACCTATGCTCTGCTTAGAGTTCTCTGTGGATGTTTTGAACCCAGTGAGATTCCTAGAAATAGAGCAAGGGACAAGGGAAAGGGGAGGAGAGGAGAGGAGACAGAGAGAGGGAGGGGTTTCCATTTAATTGCAAGATGGTGTGTGTGCCTCTCTCTGTCTCTGTCTCTGTCTCTGTCTCTCTGTCTCTCTCTCTCTGTTAGAGGATGGGCTGCAAAAGGTCAATGGAGGAAGAACACATGACTACCTAACTCCAAGTCAGCTTTCCTGTTTTAAATTCTACATTGTGGCATGGTGTCCCATGCCATTAATCCCAGCACTCAGGCAGCAGAGGCAGAAGGATCTCTATGAATTTGAGACCAGCCTGTTCTACATGGTGAGTTCCAAGAGAGCCGGGATTATGTAGAGAGACTCTCCACATCCCAGAAATCTACATCCTTTGGCATTATTATTTTATGAAGAATGACTTTTTTGCAGTAATGACTTGTGAGTATACATACGGCAGGACCTTTTAAACAATGTGCTTGGAAAGACAATAGCTTCTACTTCCAAAATTCATGTCATCAAGGGAAAATATGTCAAGATTAAAAGATGTGCAAAAATATAACACGAACACAAACGTTTAGTGGCTCCTGATGCCCCCAGGATTTAATTCCTGTGATGCTTTTATCAGCTATTAGAACACAGCTAGTGGAAACTGTAAGTTTTTGAAAGGCTTGGTATGGAGGAGAGGCTTAGACCCTACCCAGCTCTTCTAGTGCAAAACAACTCAAGTTTCACTGATACACATTGCAATTCCATCTTGACTCCTTCTAAAGAGAAAGACATTGGATTGAAGAGGCAGCAGGAGCCAGAGAACTCAAAACAAATAAACGGGCTAACCCAGAAGGAGAGAAGTGATATCCCATGGGTGTATAGTTCAGCTATGGTTGGGTTCATGAAAAAGAGCAGGACAAAAAGGCCAGAGAGTTCAGTGGAGGCAATAAAGGTAAGGTCAACGAGACTGGAACCGTGACCCCTCTACTCTCAAAAACCCACTAAATGAGTCCTTTTCTTCTTTGATGTCTCCCTAATTACCTGATTAACCATCTACTGAGTTGAAAGCAAGTCCATAAAAGGATTGACTGCCTTGTCCCACAAGATACCTTTAAGCCACACGTGCCGTTACTCTGGAGTCTCCCTCTCCTACCCCTTCAACAAGGGGTTGTTCCCAGTTCTCCCAAGTGAGTCATGCAGCTTCATGCTTCCATCTTTATCCTGGTACCTGAATTTTTCTGAATTATTTCGGAATAACCTCTATCCATCCTTAAAGATTTACCCCCTAAAATATCTGTGAGATTATACTTTTATTTTAAAAGTTTGGATGGAAATGAACTACATGTTAATAGTGATTATTTCTAGGTACAGGGATTAAGATTGATTTTTATTTTCATTATACTGTTTTTTGTTTGTTTTCTAATTTTTAAAATTACATTGAAACAGGAAAGAAGATCCCTCCAGTTGGTGTCTAGAGGGTCTTGAGTCAAATATTCACATCCATTCAAGGTATTTTTCTGAAGTGCCTACTGGGTGATAGGCAGCAAGGATGAAACAGAACCAGTACGCTCCCTCCTCTGATGGGGTTTACGGCCAGCTCATAAGTCATTACCAAAGCCAAGAAGAAGTGTTTCACTTCTGTATTGAAGCTTTGCTTTTTGCAATTTCTAACATTGTTTTTGTTAATAAATATAAATATAAAATTGTTGTTTCCATACAAAATTGACCAGTTGGCTCTCAGGATTTTGTTTTATCCATATTTACAGACTATGTATATATTTTACTCGTTTCTTCTTCCTGTCTCTCAGAGCAGGTCTCTGATCCCAGACGATGTGCTGACTTTTGGAGATAGGCTTTAAATATGGGAGCTGTTTCATCTGGTACTTTGCCCAGTGGAGAAGGGTGAGAAGTCACAAGAAATGATCTGATTGTGCCATACACCACTAAAATGATGCTAGACAATATCATTTTAGGGATATTCCTGATGGACAACAGCATCACAACTCTAACACACACACACACACACACACACACACACACACACACACACACACACACACACACACCAA